ATTGTATACCCCGACAGCACTATGTCCGTCCAGGAGCAGGTGAGCACCCAAGCTCTCTACTGGTCCCAATGTATTAACTACTAAAATCACACACGTCAACACCCTAGACTCATGATCCACTCCTTGACCCATTTTGGGGTATTAAGTCAACAGCATCAATTATAAAATACTCTGTGGTGGGAATGGAACACTATGGCAGCTGAGTTTGACAAGTTTGGTTATTATAAAAGAAAAAAAATGATAGCAGACACAGCATACAACTAGAGGAGTGATTCGTACAAATAAGCCAGTTTTAACAAAAAGACACTTTTTTTTTCACTACTCTGTGACTAACCTTTCATTCAAACCTTGCAAGCTGAGATGTCACAATACTCAAATATTTAGGTAGGAGCTTTACCCAGTTAAATGCCACTTTGTTGCTAATATAATAGATAAAATGAAAACTAGCAGTTATTTGCTATTTGCATAAATGCAGTACACTGCGTTAGCCCATGCCTCACTAACAAGCTATAAAACACAAGATATAGGCAGAAATCTAAGCATAATCTTTATACCACTTAAACAAGAATTTCTCCAATTTCTTCTGTTCCTAATCATTTATTTGTAGTTAATGTAAAATTCCAACCAATAGGACCCAATTTGAGTTAAAATTTTACATCACAACTTGATCTAATCTATATATTATTTACAAAACTGAATACATAGAGCGAACCCAAGAGCCAACTCTGGACACATGCTTATCCCAGTTCTTGATTAACCTCCTCTCCACTTCAACAGGACTAGAAGAGGCCACCAACAACTAGCAGAAATGCACCATCTATCTAGAGAGTCCCTGGATGTTCTGTTTACACAACACCAGCTCTGAAACTGAGAAGTCTCTGCAGTAACTGCAGATGCCTTTGCAACAGCTGCTTTCACAGTGCACTCCAGGGGCTGAGTGAGGGTGGGGCTAGAGGTGGGGGGGAGGGGAGGGAGTGGGGGCTGAAGAAGCCGCAGCTGGAAGGCAGACATGTCATGCACAGAGTGGCCCAGTGTCACCATGAGAAGAGGCAAACAAGGGGTGTCACAGCAGAGGACAGACAGGGAGGAAGAGGCAGCTAACACAAACAGTGTGACATCTAGTATGCTTCCCCGGGGCCTGCCGCCAGCCCTTCCAGGGGCACGTCAGGTGAGGCGTTCAAGTCATGCAACATACAAGGTGGTGTCTTCTCACACACGTCACCACTGTGCATGCGAGTAAAATATTTGGGAGGGAAAGGCACCAGTTCACATCTGGACAGCAGTTGGTGGTGGACGGACGGACAGACAGACACAGACGGACAGACAGACAGACACACACACACACACACACACAGACGACATAATGAGGACATTTAGGGAAAGCACTGGACACTGCTGGCCAAGCATGGCTTCACGCCCAATGCTATTTCAGGAGGGGTGACTTGATCATCAGGCCACAGATTTTGCTGCATCTGGTGTTGTATAAACTCACTGTGACATCCTGAGAGACCGGTACTGTGACATCCCTAGTCTCCCACTAAAGCACTGTAATAAAGGAAAAGGCTTGCCAAGATCCCGCACATTCTGCTCACTCTGTCGTTTATTACCCAATTGTCCGTTACAGTCCCAGTCGCTTTACAGAACCAACCGTTTCCATCGTTACCACTATTGTAAACCACATCAGCATTAATACATAAAGCTTTGCATTTCAAAAAACTAGACACTTTAGTAACAATATTACAAAGGTTTTAGCTTCAAAAATAACTGAAAATGAAAAAAATAAACTTTTAAAGAATTAGCATCATAAAATTAATTTATTCCAAGTAAAAATACAAAATAATATTATGACGTTGACCAGATATGAAAGTCCCTCCCAGAAACAACTCCAGTAGTGATTGAGAAAGCACTCCTTAAAGAAAATACGAAATAAAATGAAAAATATGTAAATATGTTTAATTTTTTTTCTTAGCAAAAAATCTTTCTAAAAATAACAATGAAAATTTGTCTCAGTACAAAGGCTACGTTACTATTGAAAAAATACCAGCATGAGGAAAAGGTACATATTGACAGTAGAAAATGAGTTCCGTGAGTCACAATGTCTAAAGTCTGCAATGAAAATAAATCTGCAATAAAGATTTATGCCTTTTTTCTTCTTTTTTTTTTCTATTTTTTATACAAACAGTACAAACAGTATTGCACGTAACAACAAAGAGTCGAGGTTAGCTACAGCCTTCAAAACTCCACTTAGTTCAAGTGTCCCATCAAGGAAGGCCACGGCAGGACCTGTGTTACCAGGGGCTTCCCAGTCAAGCTGCAGGGCAGAACACCTCTGTGATTTAAAAAATAATTTTTTTGAAGGACCCTCTCTTTTAATATAACATTAAGAACTGGGGGGGGGCACATTTATTTACAAAAACAAAAGGGAACATGTTATAATTTAATAAACTAAAAAAGTTCTCTTTAAAAAAATACAAACAGAAGAGCTCTTTCACAATCCTGGTCAGTCGTACAATCAACACTTGATTATAAAATACAAATGAAGGGAAAGTCGGTTCACCTAGTCACAGCTCTCAGCACCAAATGGAGTCTCCCTTACAACCTGGTCTCCGCGTTAGTTTACGCTGCACGGTCTTCCAGCTTCTCTAGAGCTCAGGGTTACTTTAGTACATGAAAGAAGGGTGCTTCTTCCAAACATCTGCATCTTTCACATAATTAGGTAGATTTCTGTAGGTTAGATATGACCTTTAATATTATAGTTATAAAGCTCTAACTTCTTCATTTTCAAAAAACACAAATAAGCATGAAAAAAATAAAGTTACCCATCTGTTAAATCATTTTCTTGCAGAATTAAATTAATATATATTTTCTGAATAAACTTACTTAGAAAATATCATTTTCTTTCCTATATTTCAAAATTGAGGTATTGCAAAAGATCAGGTCAGTCAGAAAGCGCGCTTTTCCTTAAAAACAAACAAACGAAAATCATCAGCCAACTTCTGAAAAACGTTCTAGAATATAAAAAGTAGTAGTGCGTAACAAAATTTCCCATACAGATGAAAAAAATGAAACACAAACATAGAAAAAAAAAGAAAAGAACAAAACAAAACAAAACCACATCTGGGCTGCAGAAAAGCAATTATTACCAAAAGGCCCAGAGGATACCCCACAGGGGAGGGTTCTAACAGGCTTCTTTTAATTCGGTAAAAAACTATTTTGTTTCTCCTTTTTGAAATCAAACTGAAGCTGGAGAGCCAGTATTCACAACTAAACACTGGAGAGACAAAAAGAACAAACTACAGTAAGAACCAAGCAACACTGACTTCAAGACAGTACGAGGAAATCACAGCACAAAACACACAGTGACTTAAATCTACTCTGCAGTGTCACATCCAGTCAGATTGTCCCCAGAATTCAAAACAAAGGAAGGGGGGGGGGTTTAAAAAGCTTTACAGTCTTGCAATCACCGTGCGTGTTTCTATAATCTCCGCGGCCCAGGAGTGCATGCTAAATGAGTGTCCACGGTAGCACGGGCAGGGGCTTCGTTCTATTCAAGCTTTACAGGTGAATCCAGGGAACTAGCAGTTAGTGTCACACACAAGGCAGCGTCTGCCCAGGCCATCTCCTTGGCACAGACGTCTTTAGCATCACCCTCACGTGGCTTTCTTAAAGAGGTGCCTCCGTGTCAACTTGACAACTTATTTCTAGATACTGTGTGTATTCTTAGTGTTGTACGCTAAGATGAGCTCTTTGGCTTTCTGGACAAGGTCTGAAGCTATGTAGAGTGGTGTGAGCACTAGGAGGTCAGAACTCAGAGCTCATGTGTTACTTAATAATATTACCAGTTATGAATGGTCAAGTTCATTAATGTCTGACACAGAGGCTTTTAACAGTTACATTTGATCACAGTTAGACATAATCACTTTACTATATAAAATAAATTGCACAATATATAACAGAGCACCGCAAGTACTTCATCTACCATCCACAGATTTGCTGTAAGAGGATCCTACACCTAAGTTTTCTATTGGTTGTACTAATGGTCGTCCTGTTATGGGCTCTTCCTGTCCACAAGCATTCTACCCACTGAGGCATGCCTTCCTCCCATCGATACCAATTCTTTGAATGAAAAAAAAATCTTTAAAAAAAAAATGAGTATTTTATAGCTTATATAGATTCTTAATTTGTGCATTGTGGGAAGGTTTTATACTAGACATTGGATATAAAATTTATTGCATGCAGCAACCGCATTAAGTAAGCATGCAGTCAGGAATGGTGGCCTCCGCTGGCTCTCTCTGGTCTCTTCTGATCTCCCTCCGGCAGCTGGCTCTATCCCTAACCCACAAACGTGTGTTGTTGGGTTCTTGTTTTTGTTTTTTAATTGATACCTTAGCCTGAATAGAGTATTATGGTATCAACAATACCATTTTAATAGCAGCAAAAGCTATTGCAGCATAAATTTACATAACACTAAAAGATCTAACCCAAATCCTCGGAAAAACAAAAGTCAAACATGAAGGGAAAGTAAAGATCCAGCTTGTGAGGTATCCGTACATGTCAAAGTGCGGAGCAACTACAGGCTTATTTTCATGACAGGCTAGCCTTACTCTATGAGACCCCCACTACTGATTGCTGATTGTAAAGTGTTTGCTACATCTGCCTCTACTTACACGGGTGACCTTTGGTAAGTCTTGTCCTAGGGGCGACTGTCTACGTTTCTGAAAACAAGTGCATGCTCCAGTTCCAAACCAATCAGAGCGACAACACAACATCAAACAAAGTCACAGACGTCAACCTGACAGCCGCTGATGAGAATGGCAGTCTACGTACTGTGGAGGTGACAGATCAGGTGTAAGAAATCAAGGTACCAAGCAGACAAGTTGTGAGTCAAAGTGCAAATGGGTACCATTACACACTCTGCAATTCTGCATTATACTGGACGCTGAGTTCAGTAATATGACTGTAAATGATAATAATAATAATAATAATAATAATAATAATAATAATAATAAAAAGACCCATTTCTTCTTTAAAAATCGAGAACGAATGCACAGATTTCCAGAACACCGTGAGCCCTGAGGCAGTGCCCTCTCTTCCTCCTTGTGGTCTGTTCCAGTACTTGTAGCTGGGTCGGCCGGGGGGCTCAGCTCCAGCGGAACGGGACGTGCCGAGGGCGGTCGCCTCCCTCCTTCACCAGCGGTTTGTGGAATTCGCGGCCGGCTCTGGAGTGGATGCTGGCCCAGCAGTACTCACAGTAGTACTGCAGACAGGTGACGTTGGCACAGAAGAACGGGGCGAACTTCCCCCCGCAGCGCGTGCCCTGGCACTCGTCACACATCTGGTCATCCAGCACGTAGGGTTTCACTTCCACCTGGGCCGGGAGAGGACACAGGAAGAGGGCTCAGCAAGGCTTCCGTAGCCGCATCTGCAAACCCGAGGCGGTGTGCTCTCTGGTCAGTTCTTCACGTCTCTGTGTGTGCTACTGGCTACCCGATGTGTAAGGGACACGATCCCACAACCCCACACACAGCACGCAGCCTCAACTCCTGAGGATGGACAGTCAGTGCAGGGCAAACAACCTCCCAGGGGGAAGAATGCCTCACACAAAGGTCACAAGCCTGAGAAGCAGGGCCAGAACAAGGCCTGGCTGGGAGCTGGTGGGCCACAGGGAGGCTTGGGGTTTCCGTTGTGATGACAAGGCTTTTGAAACTGTCTCAGTCAGTGCTATACTGGACCCCGGGGACAGGGGCCACGCTGAGGCTTTGTCATCTTACTCTCTCCATCACTGAAGCTGGAACAGGGTGTTTTAGCATAGCCCTTTAGGGAACCTTAATGGCCCAAATGAAACCAAGCTACATGACAAGAAAGCCTTTCAAAACCAAAGAAGAAAACGTCTGCTTGTCCGTGATTCTCCTTCCCAGAGCCTGGGTTTAAAAAAGACTGGATTGTGAATGCTGTGTCCTGGACCCTGGAATAAGCATGCAGATGGAAAGTCTGGTCAAGGGTTTCCCACAACTATGGTGGGGCTGAGCTGGGGAGGAGCACCCCCACGGCTGGGCTGGGCGTGGTCTTGCAAGGCATGTCAACTGTCTGACCCCAGAGGCATCACCAAGCAGGGAGGGAGGGGCAGTGGGGGATGAGGAGCAGGGGGGGGCGCTATGGTCTAACTCCTACTGTGAGCTCCTGCCCACAGGTCTACCTGCTGGCCAGACATTCCCACATCAGAGGACTCTAATCTTGGCCACACAAGGACAACTGTCTCTATTGCCCCTCCCCCACCCCCTTACGCTGAGGATTGAACAAGTGGGATTCAAAAGCAACATCCCTTCTATTAATCTCTGCATCATAAACTAGCACGGCTCTGCAATCAAGCCTGTCTGGGATCACAGCCAGGCCACACAAGAAACAACAACCCATCCTACTTGACAGATTCCCTACGAGTAAGTGAAGCAAGCTACCCAGAGCGCTGCCCCACTCGCCGCAGCCGCAGCCCTTCTGGCTTCCTAAGGCCAGGCCATCAAACTCTGCTTGGGTGTGCTCGGCATTGGTGTTAAGTTCTTTCATACACATGTGCCACTTGAGCTGTCTATCACAAAGGTCCTCTCCTTGGTCAAAAGCTGTCTGCTGTCTGCAGTGGCTCCGTTCGAGACAGCCTGCAGTAAGCCCGGTTCCCCTCTGTACTTCCCAATGCAGACTCGAACTGCTCAAGCTGGCCGCTCTCCCATCTCCTATTTTCTGATATACAATGTAACTTCCACAGCCCAGGCTGCCTTCACGCTCCCGATTCCCCTACCCAGCATCCTCCCACGTTGGTCTCTACTGGGACAGGTATTTCCCAGCCTGAAGACCCCCTCACACTGGCTTTTGGCACGCTCTGAAGTGTCATGCCTAATGACATCCAGCCATTCTTTTCCCTTGCTTGCATAAAGTCGAAAATCTGTGTGTGTTGCAAGCACTTGCGTGTACTGGTACACATGCCCACGAATGTACAAGGAAGCTAGAGGAGGGGTGGGTGTCCTGTTCTCCACTGCAGTTCCTTGAGACGGCTTTCTCACTGACTCAGCAAGCTCGCTGAGCCTACTGCCCTCCCTATTCCACTCCAGTGCGAGCATTTCAGGACTGTGTGTACTGGGATCTGAACTCTGGCCCTTACGCTTGCACACCAAATACTTTACTTACTGCCCATCTGCCCAAGTCAACCATGTTTTGCTTTGTTTTTGTGGTGCTTTGAATGAGAATGACCCCCCCCCCCACAGGCTAATATATCTGCATGCTTAATCCTTAGTTGATGAACTATTTTGGAGGTGTGTCACTGGGTCTCACTATGTAGCTTTGACTGGCCTAGAACTTGCTATGTAGAGCAGGTTGGCCTTAAACTCAGAGACTCTCCTGCCTCAGAATGCTGGGATTAAAGGTGTGAGCCACCACATCTGGCCAAATCAACAATTTTAAAGTAAACAATTCCATGCTACTCAATACATCAACCCTGTGTGCAGACCCTACCTAAGGCTACAAAATGCTTCTGACACCTCAACAGGAAGCCCTGTGTACACTAATTACCTACTTACCCGCTCTCTGGGACCGTTCTCTATTCCTTCTCTATGCTTAACTACTCTGGGTATTGCACAGAATGGATCACACACTGAGGTCTGCTCCATCTGACTTCTGTGACCTCTGTGAGGTTCTGAGGTTCCCCCAGGCTTCACGCACAGGGCTCTGGGTTCCATCCCCAGCACGCCATCATCCACACTGCAGCATGGAGGAAGACTTATATCTTTATGGGGAAATGATAGTTCATTACACATTTTTACCCAACTCTCACATTCTGTCGTTGGGTTGCTTCCGTCTTTAGTCTGCTGTGACTGGTGTGGTTTGAAATGAGCACGCTTGTACATTTGTGAGGGCAGCTGGTTCTAGTCAGAGACTTGGGGATGAACTTAATTGGACAGGCAGCAATTTGATTTTAACTTGAAAAGATTTACTTATGTGTTAGTTATTGGTGTCTATGTGCGTGCAGGTACATGTATGAAGGAGGCCTCTTTGTAAACCTGGAAGCCAACAAGTCCTGGCAACCCTCCTGTTTCAGCTTTCAGAGGAGCTGGAATTACAGGCATTTTTGTGGGGAAGCTTATTACACAGGTTCTGGGATTCAAGCTCTGGTCCTCATGACTATAGGAAAAATGCTCTCAAATGTTGAGCCACCTCTCCAGCCAGTCAATGTCTTAGTTTCTGAGGAACTACCAAGTTCTTTTCCACAGCAGCTACAAACCATTCTGTACCCCCAACCCACAAGGTTATCAGAGGGCCATCCTCTTCATGTGTGCCGATACTTACTTTCCATTTGTGGAGTTATAACCATCCTTGTGGTAGGATATGGCCCTACCATGGTTAAGATAGGCATTTACTTAATAACCAAGGACATTCAGTTTCTTTTTGCCTGTGTATTGTTGTCCTTTTTTTTTTTTTTAAGATAGGCTTCCACTGTGTGGCTTGAACTCATTACCCACTGTCTGAGTGTTCTTAGGTCTGTGACAGGCACGCACAACCCCAAGCAAGGCCATGTCTGTGTCCTCTTTGGATAGGCACAAAGGCCTATTCAAATCTGCTCGTTTTAAGTGGGCTGCCCTTTTGTTGTTAAGTTGAGAAATTAATTTTTAAATAATTCTGGGTTCAGCCTGGTCTAGAATGGACAGTGTCTTTCCAACCATGTTAGTTGCCTTTTCACTTTTGGGACAATGTCCTTTGATACATAATGTAGGTCACTTCTGTGCTGCACATCTGAAAGGTTAATGTGACCAGAATGTCCCTTCTAGCTGTCCAAATGGCTTCCAGCCGAGCTTAGTGACAGCTCTTGTGAGGGGGTCTGCAGGATTGTGTCAGATCTTTGCAAGAGCTGCCATGAAGACCAGACACAGCTACTGCCTTATTATCAGCTGCGGCTGTTTCCCCTTAAGCTGAATTCTCCCTTCTGATGCTAGACACCTTGACCTTTTATACTGAAAAAGTAAATATTGTGCTGTGCCAGGCATGGTCACATATATGCCTGCAACCCCAGCACGTAGGAGATGGAGGCAGGAGGTGAAGGGCTGAGGTCATTCTGAGCTACAAGATCCCTGCCTCAAAATGCATGCACTCATGCACATGTACACACACACACACATACACACACACACACACACACACACACACACACACACACACACGAGCTCCTTGCTAAAATGTCATATGTCTTCTGTCCCCTCGCAATCATGAGGCATGAGGCCCCCGTCAGGTCAGGTGACACAGCACAATGCAGTCTTCACCCTTCTGTCACCCTGCACACTCTGATGTCACTTCTAACACCTTCTAAGTGCCCTTTAAGTTTGTGAATTCTTGTCATTTTTATTTTTACTTAATTAATGCCATTCAATATGAGTCTAAATAGAGCATCTGTTCCCAAACAAACATACAGCTTTTGAACGACACTGACCTCAGAGAGGCTTTCCTGAAGATGTCTTCTGACATTCTTCAATTTGGGTGAGCAGAGCTGACTACAAAGCCTCTCTGGGCACCTGTATGGTGTTGACCTGAGCAGCAGAGGCTTGCACAAAAGAGAAACCCTCCATGAAGGACACTGATGTTTAGGCTGTCCCATGACGCTACCGGGGAGGGGGGGGGCAGCGGGGTGCGGTCATTTTGTTCAAAATGGATTTACCCAGCCTAATGTTTATAGGTTCACTGAAATCACTAAACAATGGAGGACGAGACACAGCTCTTCTCTACAATAACGTTGCTCTAACACAGCTTCTGAGCTAGATTGGTGGCTCAGTTGACAAAATGAGTGCCACACAAGCACAGGGCCTGAGTGTGATTCCCAGCGCCCTGGTAAGAGCCAGGCGTCAGTCGTCTCAACATGGAAGAAGGGACAGGGGCTCTCTAGAGCTTGCTGCCTGTTAAGTCTAGCCAACTAGTGACGTACAGGGCTGATGAGACACTGTCTCAAAAAACAATGTGGAGAGTAACTAACACCCCAACATCAACTTCTGCACACACACACACACACACCCCACACACTTTCTCTCTCTGTCTGTCTCACACACACACACACACACACACAGTTCACACATGAACATGTACACTCAAACAAGACAAAAAAAAAAGTAAATTCAGTTAATAACATAAAAGTTTTCTCTGCATTTTCTGTACTACTGTCTGGTGTGTTAGGTAACTATTCAAATTAATTCTACTTTTCTTGACAAAGAAATGCAACAGAAAGAAGTGGGTTTCTCTGTCAGCCACCTCAATTCAGCCGTGACACCGATGATAGCAGTGTGGTAGGAACCACGCTATAGATCTATGCTACCCACAAAGCCCAGATACCAAAGTCCTAGG